ACCAACCTCGACCTCCCAAAGTGCTGAGATTACAGGCATGAGCCACTGCACCCAGCCAAAATGGCTTTGGAAAAGAGTATTAACACCAGATATTGGTGAGAATGTGGACAAACTAAAATTCTTATGCATTGCTTGAGGGAATACAAATTGTTAAAACCATTTCTAATGATGTTAAATATATGTCTACCCTATTACCAAGCAATTACATTTCCAGTTTCAGAGATGAATACCATTGGAGAATCACTCTTTAATATATTATTCAATAATGACTGAGCCTGTATTTGCTAAGTCATATGTTAAGTGTTGAGACACAGAGGTGATCAGTCACTGGCTCTATGAAGCACAACAGACATACAATTTCCAAAAGTGGGGCGGATGCATATAAATCTACAAATTTAGAGTATCTTTTCCCAGACTTACCTGATATAAAAATCACTTGGGTTGCTCATTAAAAATACAGATTTGACAGCCTAATTTGGGGCCCAGAAACAATACATGAGGATAATAGTCCCCAACCTTTTTGGCACCAGATTCCAGTTTTGTGGAAGATAATTTTTCCATGGAATGGAGGGATGGAGGTGGGGTAGTGGCTTTGGGCTGAAACTGTTCCACCTCAGATCATCAGGCATAAGTTAGATTTTCATAGGTAGCACACAAGCTAGGTCCCTCACATGCACAGTTCATTCACAACAGGGTTCGAGTTCCTATGAGAACCTAATGCCACTGCTGATCTGACAGGAGGCAGAGCTCAGGCTGAGGGTTGGAAACCCCTGCCCTAAGAAATTCCTACAATCTGGATATTTTGAGAAACACAACGTGGTATGGGAAATACGTAAGACTTAACCTAGTCTAACTAAGGATTAGACTAAGGCCTTTCAGAGTGTTATCTAACCTCAGATCTGAATGATGAGTAAGCAAGAGCTAGCCACTGGAGGAAGGACTCCTTGAGTATTTGATCTTAACAGAAAGGATAAAATGTAACATGCTCAAAAATGCATTTGGGCCGGGCGCGGTGGCTCAGCCTGTAATCCCAGCACTTTGGGAGGCTGAGGCAGGTGGATCACGAGGTCAAGAGATCGAGACCATCCTGGTCAACATGGTGAAACCCCGTCTCTACTAAAAATACAAAAAATTAGCTGGGCATGGTGGCGCATGCCTGTAATCCCAGCTACTCAGGAGGCTGAGGCAGGAGAATTGCCTGAACCCAGGAGGCGGAGGTTGTGGTGAGCCGAGATGGCGCCATTGCACTCCAGCCTGGGTAACAAGAGCGAAACTCCGTCTCAAAAAAAAAAAAAAAAAAAAAATGCATTTGAAAATTTTCAAACTGCTAGTTGTATTTAAAGAGCAATTAATTTTATGTTCAACCCCTTGCCAGAAAAGAGGAAAAGAAGAAATTAAAAACTAAAATTCTGACCAAGAAAAATATAACCTGTACCTACTTTGGGGTTCACAAACTTATATAAGACAGTTGGGGTTAAATAAAGACAATCAAGTTGACAATAATTGTACAGCATGGTTGCATTAATAAAGGTAAGGAAAAACTTATCAAAAAAAGTAAATTATGGGTCAAGTAGAGGCTATCCAGGCTAAAAGGCAGAGAAGGGCACAGAGCATCCCAATTTAAGAGGACAAATATGGGATGGCTACACGATAAGAACCATTCCTTCTTCTTAGATGATAACTAGAGTTGTTTTGTGTAAAAATGAACTAGTCTGGCCAGGTGCGGTGGCTTACACTTGTAATCCCAGCACTTTGGGAGGCTGAGGCAGGTGGATTGCTTGAGCTCAGGAGTTCCAGACCAGCCTAGGTAACACAGTGAAATCCCTGTCTCTAACAAAAATACAAGAAATTAGTTGGGCATGGTGGTGTGAGCCTGTGTTTCCAGCTACTCAGGAGGCTAAAGTGGGAGGATTACTTGAGCCCAGGAGGTGGAGGTTGCAGTGGGCCAAGATCGTTAAAATATATACATATTTGATATATTTGATTGTTCAAAATAACACACACACACTCTCTCTCTCTCTCTAAGTCAGGGTCTCACTCTGTTTCCCAGGCTGGAGGCTGGTGTGCTATGGCAGGAACACAGCTCACTGTAGGTCAGGATCACCTCCCTGGGGTCAGATGATCCTCTCACCTCAGCCTCCCAAGTGGCTGAACTATGAGCATGTGGCACCATGCCTGGATAATTTTTTTTGTAGAGACAGGGTTTCAGCATGCTGCCCAGGCTGGTCTCCTAGCTCATGGGATCCACCTGCCTCATCTTCCCAAAGTGTTGGGATGACAGGCTTGAGCCACTGCAACCAGCCAGCTCTTCATATTCTTAAAAAGCATTGAGAACCCTGGTCAGGTGCAGTGGCTCACACCTGTAATCCCAGCACTCTGGGAGGCTGAGGTGGGTGTATCACTTGAGGTCAGGAGTTTGAGGCCAGCCCAACCAACATGGTGAAACCCCGTCTCTACTAAAAATACAAAAAATTAGCTGGACACAGTGGCAGGGACCTGTAATCCCAGGTACTCAGGAGGCTGAGGCAGGAGAATCGCTTGAATCTGGGAGGCATGCACCATTGTACTCCAGCCTGGGCAACAAAAGTGAAACTGTCTTCAAAAAAAAAGTATTGAGAACCCCAAGGAGTATTTTTTTTAATTTGAGTAATAATACTTACCATATTCGAAATTAAAACAACATTTTCAAATATTTATTAATTTAATCAGAGACAATATTCATTACTTAAGTAAAATCTTAGATTAAAAACATATTTTCGGCTGGGCATGGCAGCTCACACCTGTAATCCCATCACTTTGGGAGGCTGAGGCCAGCAGATCACCTGAGGTCAGGAGTTCGAGACCAGGCTCACTAACATGGAGAAACCCATTTCTACTAAAAATACAAAATTAGCCAGGCATCGTGGCACATGCTTGTAATCCCAGCTAGATGGGAGGCTAAGGCAAGAGAATCACTTGAACCCGGGAGGCAGAGGTTGCAGTGAGCTGAGATCATAACATTGCACTCCAGCTTGGGAAATGAGAGCAAAAATCTGTCTCAAAAAACAGGAAACCCACAAAAAACCGTATTTTCAAAAAATTGGTGAGAAGAGCAATACTATCTCAAGCTGGATTCTCATTCACATCTGATTCTGCATTCAAATCTGCATTCACTAAAATCTGCAGTGTGTTTGCAAGCTTCATTCTTAAGGACATCCAAAGTTAAAAACGTTTACAAAAGAGAAAATCTCAGCATAACAGAAGTACTTGCAGATCATTTGTGTGATAAAGGTGTATTATCTAGAATATAGAAAGAACTCTCACAACTGAACGACAGAAAGGCAAAGAACCCAATTTTAAGAATAAGCAAAGGACTGGAAGAAGCATTTCTCCAAAGAGGATATATGAATGGCCAATAAACACATGAAAATATGCTCAATATATCAAGTCATGAGGGAAATGCATATCAAAACCACAAGATACCACTTTACACCCACTAGGATAACAATAACAGACAGTGTCGAGCAGGTCATGGCGAAATCAGAACCTTCATCCGTTGCTGGTGGGAATGTAACACGGTGAAGCCACTCTGGAGAAGTCTGGCAGTTAGTTTCTCAGAAAGTTAAATACAGAACGACCACATGATCCAGCAATTCCACTCCTAGGTACATGCCCATTTTTATTATATTCTTCGGGTTCTCACTTACCACAGTATTTCCTACAGTGTACTAAACGCCAGGGAATAGTATTGCCAGATCTCAGCCAGAAATCACAGGACTTGCCCTTGACACCTCCCTTATTATCCCCGAGGTCTTGTCAATTTTAACTCCCGACTCGCACTGCTGTGCAGGCGATCACCTCCCAACTGGCTAGAGCAACAGCGAGCTCCTATTGGTCAGCATAAAAAGTGCGGCACTGTGATTGGCCCAGCATGAGGGCGCGAACGCGCGGGAAGGAGACCGCGTACTTGAGTTATCGCCAATACTTGAGTATTCTAAATGCTTATCGGATCAGCCACGGGCCCTCACTGTTCTTAGACAGACTCCAATCCGAGTAACTCCTGTCAAACCTTAGAACCGTCGGGCTGTGTGTAAACCCCGGCACTCTGCGTCTTCCAGATACACCCTCCTTTCCATCTCCTTACAAAGTCAGGGCCGGGCGCGGTGGTCACGCCTGTAATCCCAGCACTTTGGGAGGCCGAGGCGGGTGGATCACGAGGTCAAGGGATCGAGACCATCCAGGTCAACATGGTGAAACCCCGTCTCTACTAAAAATACAAAAAATTAGCTGGGGGTGGTGGCGCGTGCCTGTAATCCCAGCTACTCAGGAGAATCAGGCAGGAGAATTGCCTGAACCCAGGAGGCGGAGGTTGCGGTGAGCCGAGATCGCGCCATTGCACTCCAGCCTGGGTAACAAGAGCGAAACTCCGTCTCAAAAAAAAAAAAAAAAAAAAAAGAGAGTCCGGCCCGGTGCGTTCTCTCGCCCGCCACCCCACGCCCACCCCACGCCCACCCCACGTTTAATTCACGCTCCACTCGGATCCGGTGTCAAACGCGCGTCTCTTGGGGAAACCGTCCGGCCCGTCACACTAGCCGAGGAGCCATGCTGTCCTGCAGGACATCCTCCGCCTGGGTCCGCGGTGAACCTGCCGTCCCCCTCTCACTAGAGTCCCCGCCGCCGCGGCAGCCGCTTCATCGGCCTCCGCTGCCAGAATAAGCCTGTGTGCGAATTTCTAGCTTTCCCCGGGGACGGAAGCGCGTTTCGGAGACCGGCGCCGCCGCTTGGCTGGAGACGCACTTTTGCGGCGTTGGCACCCGCTGTGAGGGCGCCAGGACTGCGGGGCCGCCGGAGGAACGCGTCCGCCCCCCGCCCGCCTCGCTGGCCTCGCCTATGCCGCTGTTCGGGGTCCCCGCGTGCCTCGGCGGGACGGGCCTCGCCACCGGGACCGGCCACACGCGGGGTTCGCCATCCCCAACCGCTCGAGCCCACGGCCTCTGCCCTCTCCGGCCTCCCCGCCCGACCTGCCGCGCTGCGTCTCCGTCCGTTGCACCTCGGAGCCGCTCGACGGCCGCCGCCGCTGCCGCCTCTCCGCGTCGGCTCCGAGCCCGTGGCACCACTGGAGCAGCCCCGGCGCCTGTCGGGTAACGGCCGCCGGCGACCCGCCCGGCGCGAGCTCCTATTGGTCGGTATAAAAAGTGCGGCACTGTGATTGGCCCAGCATGAAGGGCGCCAAAGCGGGGGAAGGAGACCGTCCATCTGAGTATTGCGCAACGTAGAAGAGAGTGTGCGGACCGCGGGCTCGGAGCGCAGAGCTGCCCCCGAGACTTTCCCGCTTTCCTGCCTGAAGCCATCGTCGGGACCCCGCAGCTCTGAAAAGCCACCATGTGAAAATACTTGGAAGCGCTGCTCCTGCCAGCGGAGGCCAGACTGCCCCTCGTTTGGGGCCGGAACAGGCCGACTCCTCGGCCCTCAGTGGCGGGACTGGGGCCCGGCCTCGCTGCCGGGCTGTTTCCCAGGCTGCGCGGCCCCTCCCGGGGTTGGGTTTGTCCTCTGCACATCCTGCTGGAAGTACCGTCGGGCCGCGACTAGGGTGAGGCCAGGGAGGCATTTGTCACGGGGAAGGATTTAAGAGGCTGCCCAAATCGTAGCAATCAAGGTAAATCATATTTTAGTGCAGCCTCTAAAAAATGTCAAAAGTAATGAAAAAAAAAAATCAGTCCGAAATTTTTCTTTCACTTCAGACTCTAAAATGGCTCTGTGACTGGTCCTGTTTTCATTTAAAATTTGGTTGAGCCCGGGAGGCAGAGGTTGCCGTTACCGGAGATGGCGCCACTATACCCCAGCGTGGGCAGAGGAGTGAGACTCTGTCTTTAAAAAAAAAAAGGAATATTCTGGGCCTGGCACGGTGGCTCACGCCTGTAATCCCAGAAGTTTAGGAGGCTGAGGCAGATGGATCACCTGAAGTCAGGAGTTCGAGACCAGCCTGGCCAACTTGGCAAAACCCTGTCTCTACTAAAAATACAAAAATTAGGGGGGCATGGTGGCGGGCACCTATAACCCCAGCTACTTGAGAGCCTGAGGCAGGAGAATCGCTTGAACCTGGGAGGTGGAGGTTGCAGTGAACCGAGATACCACCATTGATCTATGGCCTGGATAGTGACAGAGCAAGACTCCGTCTAAAATAAAATAAAATTTGAATATTTTATTCATCATGGATTTTTTGTGTTAATTTCGATTTTTTAAGTGATTGCATTAAAATATTCAATTACTGAGTTTTTGCATCTCCCCCCCATCCTTATATTTTTGTGCCTAGTCTCATCCCTGATAGGGAATTTAAACCTGCACAAAAGGACACAGTCCTGAAGGGGTGGGGATGGGATGGCACTGCAGATGGCTTCATTTGCTTATTAGTGTGATCATGCACATGATTGTTGAGTCACAGAGGACTTTGGATAGGTGGCAGAGAGAGGAGGGGCTCTAAAACTGCACCTGTCCCCAAATTGTCCCCTCAAATGAGGCTGCAGCCTCTGAAATGCACTTCATTCATTCATTCAATCCATTCATTTATTCAGCAGATTGCTACTGACCTGCCCCGGGCCAGGGGCTGAGGAGGCAGTGGTGGATAGTGGACTGTGAGCATGGATCTTGGGATGATGTAATAGACTTACTGCAAATCTTGCCATTACGAAAGTGCTTTCGAGTGCCTCTTAAAATGACATGGCCTGTCCTTGTGCAGTAGATTTCATTTGAAAGTCCCTGTGTCATTTGAAGTTAATGCCAGTGGCTGGAGAGAGCGGCCATGGCAGCAGCAGGCCAGAGCTGCTGATGAGATCATGAGGTCGGACCTCTGTTATAGAAAGGGCTTCAGATTGAGGCTCATGTTAGGAGGCTGGACACTGTCCCCTGGGTTGCTGGGCAGATGGCATCTGGAGCAGGACTGGCCCATGGTGACCCTGGAAGGGGTGGCTCTGGAAGTGTGTCTGTCCATGGGCCGGCAGCCCTCATGTCAAGACAGCTGGAAACTACACTCTACTCTAGGCCCTTGGCGTTTCTCCTGTGACTGCTCCAGCACAGTTAGAATTTGGAGAAATTCCTCTGCTGAACAGACATTTGCCAAATGCTCATTTCACTGTTGGTCTCCTCTCCACCCTGTGGGCGGGTACAACACAGAAGGAACCAAATCTTTCATGTCAACCTTTCAAACCATCGAAGACGTGATCATGCCATCCTTAGGGAGGAGTACTGGGATTGGAGGAATAGAGATGAGATGTAGTGTTACAAGCACAGACATCACATGTGTCACCAGGCTACAGAAAAAGTAAGCTGTGCCTGACGATGATGCTGTGCTTACAGGCAGGCGGCAGGAGGGGCTGCCTGGTGTTGGCATCGAGGGGGGTTGACGGGCGAGTGGACTGTTTGCGTGAGAGACACCTGCTACTGCAAGGGGAAGAAACATTCCCACTTAAGTGACTTCAGCTGGTGTCCTTGTGGCTTCCTCTGGGCCCTTTGAGGTATTTTGTTTTGCTTTGTTTTGTTTTTGAGACAGTCTTGTTCTGTTGCCTAGGCTAAAGTGAGGTGGTACCATCTCAGCTCAATGCAACCTCCACCTCTCAAGTTCAAGTGATTCTCCTGCCTCAGCCTCCCAAGTAGCTGGGATTATAGGTGCCTATACCACACCCAGCTAATTTTTATATTTTTAGTAGAGATAGGGTTTCACCATGTTGGCCAGGCTGGTCTAGAACTCCTGACCTCAAGTGGTCCACCCACCTCAGACTCCCAAAGTGCTGGGATTATAGGTGTGAGCCACCACACCTGGCCCCCTTTGAGTTTCTTTGACACTGTCTCTGGACACTACACACTGGTCCTAGGGCATGGGACCCTTGCCCCTCTTGGTCCGAGTTTCCTGTGTCTGTGTATGGAGCTGGTGGCTTTGCCTTTTCTGCCAGGGAGTTCTACCACATTTGGACTTATGTAATTGATTTGGGGATTATATTGTTTTAATGTGAAATTATACATTTTTATGAAATCCATCAGTTTCTTTGCCATTTATTTTCAGTGATATTAGAGATTCTTACCCCAGCTCAAGTTCAGAATAATCATATTCACACAATAGGTTTTTTTTTTTTGAGACACAGTCTTTGTCACCCAGGCTGGAGTGGAGTGGTGAGATCTCGGCTCACTGTAACCTCCGTCTCTTGGGTTCAAGCAATTCTGCCTCAGCCTCTCAAGTAGCTGGGATTACAGGTGCACTCCACCACACCCAGCTATCTTTTTTAGAGATGGGGTGTTGCCCAGGCTGGTCTTGAACTCCTGACCTCAAGTGATCCGCCCACCTTGGCCTCCCACAGTGCTGGGATTACAGGCGTGAGCTACCATGCCCAGCCACAGAATAGCTTTTACTTGCCTTTTATGATTGGATTTTTTTACACTTAATTTTTTTGCTTATAACTTTTAAATATTTTAACGTTATTAAAGTCACATGTGTTTAATGTAGAAAGTGCAGAAAAGGTGAAAAAGAAAATAGGAATCTCCTATAATCCATTTCTCACAGCCTCACTGTGGATGTTTTCTGGGAGCTATCTGTAGAGAGAAACCATGGAGATACCCTCCCACATAGACCGTGGTGCCTTTTTACATTTTTAACCTTTGTACGGAGAAGCCGTTACAATTTTTTATTCCACAAACACCTACTGAGGTCTTGCTATGCATCAGGCAGGCCATGGAATGAAAAGCTTACAGCATTTATCAAAGAAAGATCAGTCTAACTGATGCCACACAGCTTACTGGAACAGACAGGATGCAGAAAAGGGTGACGTGTTTGTAGAGCAGTCTCAATCACGGAAGCCACCCCCTGGGAATCCTCAGGGAATGCAGAAAATAAAGCAGAGCAGAGCAGCCGAGCCCTTTTGAGCAAAGCTGCACCGTCCCATTGCAGGGACCTGTCTATCCTTGTACCTTTGTAACACTAAAAATACCTGGCAGAGGCCCCCTCAACTGTCGTTTTATCAGAATCATCTAGTCTAATTGCAATGTTGGTTTTTTTTTTTAACTTTCAGATGAATATTAGAATAATTTTGTTGTTGTCCGGGTGTGGGGGCTCACGCCTGTAATCCCAGCACTTTTGGAGGGTGAGACAGGAGGGGTGCTTGAGGCCAGGAGTTTGAGGCTGCAGTGAGCTCTGATCACGCCACTGCACTCCGGCCTGAGTTAGAATGAGACCTTGTCTTAAAAAAAGAAAGAAAGAAAAAAGAATAATTTTGTGAGATTACCTCCCCCCAAAAATGAAAAGGGGTTTTCATAAGAAATGTAGTAAACCTATAAATGTGAGAGAAAGTTACATCTTTGTGATATTTATTCTTACCATCTTTTTATAATTTTTCATATCTTGTATCTCAGCAGAATGTATAGACTTCCTAATGCAGTTTCTTCTATTTCTTAGGATTACTACTATTGTTTCAGTTTGTGGGGGAGGTTTTGAGTGTTTTTTGTTTGTGATTATGAGATCCTAATGAACTAATCTTTAGTCAGCCATTCGGGCGCGGTGGCTCAAGCCTGTAATCCCAGCACTTTGGGAGGCCGAGGTGGGAGGATCACGAGGTCAAGAGATCAAGACCATCCTGGCCAGCATAGTGAAACCCTGTCTCTACTAAAATATAAAAAATTAGCTGGGCGTGGTGGTGTACATCTGTAGTCCCAGCTACTCAGGAGGCGGAGGCAGGAGAATTGCTTGCACCCAGGAGGCGGAGGTTGCAGTGAGCGGAGATCGCGCCATTGCACTCCAGCCTGGCACCTGGCGACAAAACAAAACTCTGTCTCAAAAATAAATAAATAAATAAATACAATTTAAAAATAAATAAATAAATAAATAAATTAACTGGTCAGTTTTGATGTACAGGAACGCTATTGATTTCTGTACATCGGTCACACACCCTAGTATTTTAAGCAATTCTCCTTACCTTCTATAGTCTTGCAATTGAGTACAAACAGTACTTATGTTGCCCATTTTCCAATATTGTATCTTATTACTATTTTGTGTTTTGCTGTGTTGTCTAAAACTTTACAACAGTGCTAAAGTATAGGGCTTCAAGTCATCTTTTTTTCTTCTGGATTTAAATGTAAATGTATCAATTTGCTGTTTTTCTAGCAAATGTGATGTTAACTGTTT